CTGTCTCAAAAAATAAATAAATAAATAAATAAATATAACATTACTGATTCTAAATTCAAATCATGTCCTGGGTGATGAAGATTGATGGACTAAGAGATTATTAATGAGACTGAAAGACTTTCCTAGTTCTGGTTTGAACCTTCAACTCAGACCCGGATTACCACCAAATAAAAACCCTTGCTAAGAGGTAGATACCAAAGAGACAGAACTTTGCTGAATTTTTGCCAAGCTGAGGTTTTCTAGAGGAAAGTAACTAGCTGGAGCAGTAAATAGATTAAGGAGAGAGAGAGAGCAAACTTGCAGAGGTGGGGATGGGAGCGTGTTTGAGAAGGATTTAAAAACATAGCTCAATCAACAGCCCTTCTGAAAAGAATGCTCTGCCTTGCTCTGTTCCAAGATTTGGAAATGAACAAAACTTACTCTGTAAATTAAGAGAACCTAGTGACTTCAAGGTGATTTTTGAAACTTTTTTTTATCTTGAAATGATCTGAGGCTTACCAAAATGTTGCAAAGATAGTAGGAAAGGTTCACGTGTGCTCTTCACCCAGCTGCTCCTCCAGTTAACATATTACAGCCACAGGACAATGACCCAAACTAGTAACTGAAGCCAAGAGATGGAGTAAACCTAAGTGTCCAGATGAATGGACAAGGGAATGTGCACAATGGAACATTATTCAGCCACAAAAACAAATGAAATTCCCGGCAGCACGTATGACTATGGAGAACATATAACAAGGAATAAGTCGCCAGGCACAGACAAGTACCTCGTGTTCTCACTCATATGTGAAAGTCTAAAAAGCTGATCTCCTGAAAGTAGAAAGGCAGGCCAGTGGCTCACTCCTGTAACCTAGCCCTCTGGGAGGCCGAGGCAGGTGGATCCCCTGAGCTCAGGAGTTCAAGAACTAACCTGAGCAAAAGCAAGACCCCTCTCTACTAAAAACAGAAAAACCAGCCAGGCGTTGTGGCGGGCACCTGTAGTCCCCACTACTTGGGAGGCTGAGGCCAGAGGATCGCTTGAGCCCAGAAGTTTGAGGTTGCTGTGAGCTGTGATACCACAGCGCTCTATCCCGGGGCAACTAAAAGTGAGACTCTGTCTCAAAAGAAAAAAAAAAAGAGAATAAAATCATGGTTACTAGATGCTGGTAACAGTGGTGGTTGGGGGAGTATATGGATAGCCAAAGGTTGGTTACCAGATATAAAATTACAGCTAGATCAGAGGAATCAGTTCCAGCGTTCCACAGCACTATAGGATGAATATAATTAACATCTACTGTGTATTTTCAAATAGGTAAAAGGAAAGATTTCAAAGGTCCCAACGCACAAAAATAATGATAAATGTTTGTGAGGATGGATATGCTAATTATCCTGATTTGATAATTACACATAATATCTGTCAATACCACACTGTACCCCATAATGTGTACGATTATTTGTCGATTAAAAATAATAAAATAATAATAAAAACAAACAATCACCTAATAAAGAGACAATGGTACAATACTATAAACTACCTGGATTTCATCAGTTTTCCCACTAATGTTCTCTTTCAGTTTCTGGAATCCAATCCAGGATCCCACATTGCATTTAGCTGTCAGGAGACATTCTCCTCCAAATCGGTGGCAGTTCCTCAGTAAAGTCTGTCCTTATACCCCTGATACTGTTGATGAGGACTGGTCAGGTATTTTGAGGAACGTCTCTCTATTAAGGTTTGTAAACTTTGTCATGGTTCAACTGAGGTTATGGGTTTAGATGAAGAATACCAAAGGTACAGTGTTTGCTTTTTAGGATGTCCTCCAGGGGTAGATGAGCCCGTATGTCTCACTGCCATTCTGGCGTCCACAATTCCCCTACTGGTAAAGTTACTATTTTTTCCCCTTTGTAATTAATAAATATTTGGTGGGGGGGGAAATACAGCAAATATCTTGTTTCTCCTTAAACTTTCACCCAGTGGTGAAACGTTTATTAATTTAAAGTCTTCTGCAGAGAAGAGTTCTCCTTCTGGCCCAATGATTTATTTATTCAGTGACTTAGGTCAGTTTGGATTTGTGTGTATACATTTTCTTTGGGAGGTTGCAATCCAATAATATAGTTACTTTATTGCTCAAACTTTCATCTGTGGCCCCTGGGTGCTCTTTCTGGTCAGCTCCTTTTTGAGAACATCCTTGCTTTCTGGCACCACAAGCTCCTTCAGGCTCATCTTGTATTTTCCTTGCCCTAACCTTGGACTCAATCCCTTCTCCAAAGGGCTCTGGTTTCCTTGAAGGCAGTGGTTATCAACATTCCTAATGCTGCAGTGTATTTTCATTGTTAAAAAGGGGTCATGACCCACAGGTTGCAAACCGCTGCTTTAAGGAAAAATGGTACAAGATGAATATCCTTCATCCAAAATGTTTGGGGCCAAAAGTGCTTCAGATTTCAGAATCTTTTTCTGTTTAGGAACATACACAGTATATTCACTGTTGGAACATCTCAGATCCAAAAATTCAAAGTCGAAAATGCTCCATTCAGCATTTTCTTTGAGGGTCATGTCTGTATTCAAAAAGTTTCAGATTTTAGAGCATTTTGAAATTCAGATTTTCAGATTTGGTATGCTCATCCTGTATGTGGAAACAACGACCGAGTCTGCTTCTGGGGAATCACTGTGCCTAGCCCATGTCAAGGAAAATGAACCTGGCCTGTGACTTTTACAATTTACTAAAGTCAACACTCCTAAAACCACATAAAAAGTGCATTAAAAACAGTCTCTTGGCTCGGCGCCTATGGCTCAACCGGCTAAGGCGCCAGCCACGTACACCTAAGGTGGCGGGTTCGAATCCCCAGCCTGGACCCGCCAAACAGCAATGACGGCTGCAACCAAAAAATAGCCGGGGGTTGTGGCGGGCGCCTGTGGTCCCAGCTACTTGGGAGGCGGAGGCAGGAGACTCGCTTGAGCCCAGGAGTTGGAGGTTGCTGTGAGCTGTAATGCCACGGCACTCTACCCAGGGGGACAGCTTGAGGCTCTGTCTCAAAAAAAAAAACAAACAAAAAAAACAGTCTCTTTTCCTTTCCACATGCAGCTGGGGACAAGGAATGGCCTTAGAATTGTAGGATCAGGCCTCAAAGGATAAATTTTTAGTGGTAGTTCCCAGAACTTTTCCTGGAGCCCCTAAAATCCTATCCCAATCCAGTCAGTCCCAGGGAGGAAGCAGCTTCAACGCAGAGCAGAGTCGTAGCTGTAACTCAGCAAGTCTTCCTCCTAGGGCGGAGCATAGCTGGATATTCACAACTACTTTCTCCTATGACTACAGGGCCGGGGGCGGGCAGGGGGGTGGGGGGAAAGTGGGGGACCAGGCAAGAGAGCTTAATTTTTATATCCATTTCATTATAAGCATCACAAGACCCTAAAACAATGTACTTGTAATTATTACTTAGGTAAAAAACATACGAAGGGTGTAAACAACATATTAGGGATTTGTTTGAAGGATTTGAGTGATTTGTCAAGGAGGTCAGCTTCCCATGTTCACTTCGTCTTAGACAAATACGTTACAGTGGACTCCAACGGATGGGTAAATTATGCAGCAGAAAGTACTAGTGCATTCAAAAACAAAAGCTCTCTAAGACATTTCACAGTAGAGTGCTATGAAGAATGGACTTGTCATTTTACAGGGATACTTTTACACACACATGTAGCATAATAAATTCCGAGTTCACCTACCGTTCAGCGGCGACTCCTTGAGAAAAGGGCCTTCTCGCTGTCACTCTCTCGTTCAGAGCTGGCTTCTTTCGAATCTGAGCAATTAAAAAGAAACAAGACTTTCAATATCCACACTGATTCGTGATTCTTACATAACCTCGGCTGCCAAGATGTACGCACACAGGGAATTGATGTTCTCTGTTGGACTTTATTCTGGACGTTTGCTTTCCTGGAGCTTACCATGCTCTGTGCTCCCCAGAAGTAACCAACAGACCACAAATGACTCATCATAAATCACACCGCGCTGGGAAATCTTTTAAAAATTATTTCATACGAGAGGCACGTGTGAGATTCACGTCACCTACTATCCTAGTTCAGTCGAGAATATGAGTTAAGGCCCTTTCCACCTTTTGTATCAAATTAGTGATGATGATACCCACGTTACTGTGCAGACCTGAGTGAGGTTAGGTCGTAAAAGGATTCAGAACCGTGAAAACATGTTTGACAAAAGTGATGCATTGCAAAAATGAGACGTTATAAAATATAACCTCATGCTAGGTTAAGCCTAAGGTAGAGTAAGGTGGCAACCCGCGGGCAAGGCAGACGCAGCAGACTCGGAAGGCAGGGTCTCAGCATTTCCATCTCGTCTCCTCTGAAGGGCTCAGGGTTCCAGAACAGCAGTTTTATCCATGAAGACAAAACAGCACCGAGTGCCAAAGTCCTCAGAGCCCGGACACTTCCAACACCCAGACCCAACATTCTGCACGTCTAACCTACACAAAACTCTGCGTTTCCTCTCTTTGACTTCTGTACCTTTCAACTTGGAATTTACAAGAACTATTACTTGATGCACGGCATAAAAATAACAGACGGAGGAGAGAAAATGTTTTCCCATTTTGTTGACTCTAACAGAAGAGAACAGAGACTATACCGGCAATGTATTTTGCTTGTTTATTTCTCTGTTTTCTCTGGCACTGTTTAGTACTTTCATTTGGAAATCAAAAGCCTTTTCATGAAGACTCAGTAGTAAACTTAATAGTACAGCAAACTAGTGAGTAGCAGACTGAATAGTAAAACAAACAATTTTGTTTTCAGATGGGAAAAAAAACATTTTTCCCAAAAATCTTGCTTTCTTCTATAGAAAAAAGCTAATTTGTCAGTGTTTTATGCCTGCATGAGTGCTGCACTGTAGCAATTTACATAAACATTTTCTTTTCTAGATAGAGCCTTAAGCTGTCACACTGGGTAG